AAAAAAAAAAAAAAGACCTGAGCTGAGATCAAGAGTTGGACGCTTAACCAACTGAGCCACCCAGGTGACCCTAAATGGCTCTTTATCAACACTTCACTTTGGCTAAGCAACATCCTCCCTGTGCCAGGCCCAGGTACAACCAGAGGCATCCCACCCCCAAGACCAAGGGTAATGAGAGATTGGACAGGCAGTAAGAGTAGGCAGGTAAACAGAGGGCAGTGAAGACAAGTGGAGAAAAGGAAGAGGCCTGAACTGGACAGCAGGTGATTTTTCCTGCCCAGCATCCATTCATCCCCTCTTCTGGCAACATCACCACAGCCACCCAACACCAAATCTCGAGCCGTGTGAGGATGTGTCCCTGGTCTAGGCAATCAGTGCATTCTACCTTCCTGGCCACAGTGATTACTTGAGGCTGAATACATCCCAGGTTTGGACCAATGATAGCCAGGTCCAGGGGTTCTGTTGGGGAAAGGGAGCTCTTTCTACCAATAACTGGAGCTACAGGGTAACTCGTGAAGCCTGAGAATGAAGCCAGCTCAAAGGAAAGCAGAGTCAAGAACCGAAGAGACAGATCCCTGATGATGCTGTTGTGAGTCTTGGAATATGGCTTGAAGCCTAACCTGGCCCTGGCCTTATCAGCTACATGAGCCAATTAATTTCCCCTGTCCCCTAAGACAACTGGAAAGAGTCCCAGCCGAGGTCTCTCCCATCTGTCTGCTCTTCGGAGAGTATTGTGAAGACAAGGAGACTTTCTTCTCTGGGGTTTTAAAGGTAATTATCTAGTGACAGATTGTCCCTGGGGTGAGAGCCACCATGGAGACAGAGTCCAGCTGGCCTTTCCTAGGACACATATGACCACCAACATCCTTTCCAACAGTATCAGTAACGAGTAATTATAGACTCGTTTACTATTTGTAGTAGCTATTATTTGTCCGCCCAGCATCTTGTTTTGGTGATGGGCTCTGCTGTTCCTCAGCCATGGGGGGGATGGAGGAAAGCTCATGACCTACATCAGGTTTATCATAGGGCTGCACACCCTAGGGCAGTGATTGATCCAAGAGGGTATGGGACTCGCCAGAAACCACTGAGGACCTTTCTATAAGGATTTTCCAAATTAGAACTGGGGGGAAGAAGCCTCTCTCTCAGGGCTAGTAAGCTGGGAGGGTAGAATCTGGAGCAGTCAGCTGCCATGGGCTCCAATGCATGAGAGAACCCGCTTACAGTAGGAGAAAAGGAAGCCAACACAGACCTGGGAGAGCTTGCTTACTGTTTCCCTGTGTCCAATCTCCCCCTCTCCCTTTTACTGTTAGAATCTCCTTCCTCAGGGTTTTAGCTATGCAGCCAGTGACTAAATTTGCCTCCTCCCTTGTAGCTAAATGTGGTCACGTGACAAGATAGTAGGACCTTGGGTATTTGATGGTTTCCTGGAGCCCACACCTATCTGCGCTGAACAACCTGACTATCCCCACACTGCTAGGTGAGAGACAGCCACTGTAGTTCAGTGGTCTCTTTGTTACAGCAGCCCAGTCTGTACCTTTACTAACGTACAGGTGAAAAAGAAATAGAAAACAAAGAGCCATATTGGGTTTCAGTCTCTGGATATAATTATCCCTGCAATGATAATGTTATTACTTGCAGAGTGCTAGGAACGATCTTTAATGTTTACATATAGTACCTCATTTAATCAGAACCAATTCTACGGGGGTGCCATTGTCATCCCCATTGTACAGCTTAGGGTACAGAGATTAGGGCAGAGAGATTAAGTAACTTGCCCAAGGTTCACATTACATTGCTTCCGAAGCTAACCTTTTCCATGATCTGTTGTGTAAGCCAATAAAACCCCTTTCTTACTTAAACTGGCTCGGGCTGGATTTCTGTCACTTGCAACAAAGCATTCTAACTGGATTTTTATCTAATCCAGCTTGCAGATTCCTCTATAGAGTGCCAACTATATGGTACAGAATTTTAAGACACTATTTACTGACTGCAAGCAAGACACAGTTCCCATGAAACCTGCTCCCATTTAGCTCTTAAACGACCACTGCAGCTACAAGACAGCAAGGCACGTTGCAAGGAGACAGTCTTCTCAGGGGGACACTGGGCTTCCTGCCTGGGGCAGCCACTGCTGGATGGTTCATCCCATACCCACTCCCAACCCCCTTTCCCTTGCCTGCCTGAAAAAGCAAAATACTTTCTCAGCTTTCTGAACAGTGAGGGCTGGCTGGATGATACAATTTTGGGCAATGAAAGGTTTTACAACAGAGAGGAATTCCAGCATAGTGATGAAAAGTATGGGCTCTACATGCAGACTGCCTTGACTCACCATCCCATCAGATGTACAAATTTGAGCATTTTACTTAACCTCTGTTCCTTAGGGAAGAGTAATGGTACCTACCCCTGGTGGTGGTGAGGACTAAAGAAGTTAATAAATGTGCAGAAGTCAGAAGAGTGCCTGGTACATGGGGGAACACTATGTAAATATTAGTGACTGCCATTTTTATCACCTGTATGTGCCAAAGGTGGAACCGCCTCTAAGGTGTATCATTCCGTAGAAGCAGCAAGGTGCAAAGCTGCACGCCTACTGTGTGCTCACAGTTGTATGAATACACAGGCTGCGGTATGCATTCGTATCTGCTGCTGCATGCAGACAGTCTCTGGTAGGACACACCAAAACCTGTTCAGAGTAGTTGCCCCTGGGCAGTAGAATGTGCAATCGGGGTTCTAGACTGGGAAGTTCTACTTCACTGCATGTCCCTTTTCCACTAACTGGATTGGGTTTTTGGAATCTCGTACATGAGTTACTCAAGGCTTTTAAAATTGTGTTGAAGAAGCTTTTAAAAGATCCCACTTTCTCTTAATTTTCACTGTTCACCCACAAGATGGGCAGTCAAAAAATTATATGTCAATTACATTTCAATGAAGCTGGAAGAAATAAATTGAAAAAGAAAAATGGACAGTTGCATAAAGTGGTACGCTTCCTTCTGGAGGTATTCAAACACAGGCTGGATGGTAATGTTAGACATGCCCTGCAGGATTTCACTAGCTAACAAGAGGGTAGTTTAGACAGCAACAAAGCTCTGCCAATTCCAAGATCTGCCTTTATGGTGGCACGAAAGGAGAAGTGAGTTGGGGGAGATGCCAGGAAATGACATCAATCAATCAAAACAAAGTAAAAAACTGCAACCATCACAGACTACTGATATCAAGTAGGATGCACAGCAGATGTGCTCCAAGGGCAAGCCTAGTCTCATCTTACCAGGGCACAGCTGAGGAACATGGCTATGTTGTCAGATAGGCGTGGGGGGTGACTCCTGGGTCAGTCACTTCTTCATTGTATGAACTGGACCAGTTACCTAAGATCTTTGAGTTTTTTTCTCATCTGTAAAATGGGAACAACATCCACCTTACTGGGTTGGTGTGAACCGTAAGCGAACCAGTGAATGTCAAGTCTGTAGCAGGGCACCAGGCGTGCAGTAAAGTGCCCAAGGAACTGAGGTAGCCATCACTGGAGATAGAGAAGGATCACCTTCAAATAATCTTTGAAGTCAATCTTTTAATGCACAAACAAAAAAAAAAGACAAACCAGAAAATAGTTTTATATTGACCTAGTAGAGATCATCACATGTAGACACTTTAACCCCACAACCAGATATTAAGTTAGGACAGCTCCTGATAGATCCTTAATCTTCAAGGCTGAACTATCCTACCCTGTTAACAGCAGAATCAGAGCATTAAGCAAAGCCAAGCTTCTCAGGCCTTCCCTTCTAAATCCTTTTAGACCAAGAGGTCAGAGCAGAACCAAGCAAGATTGTGTTATTACCCAAGAGATGGTAAGAACAGCACTGGTAAATTCATTTACTCCTTGGGACTCTGTGCCCACAGAATGATTTAAGAGGCCCCTGTATATATACATGATCGGGTCCAGGTACAAATATTTTGGTCTTAACTGTGACGTTTATGGCAAATATAGAGCGAGTGAATGGTTCTAGGTTAGAGAACAATTGTCACAAATGCTACGTCTTCAAGGAAATAAGGCATATGTTGCTGCCTCTAAAATACTGTGAGGCAAGGAGTGACTGCCAGACTAGCCCGTCCACGTGGGAGACTCAAACCTGGGTCTTTGCAAAAATAAAACCTGGGTGCTGAGGGCCTCCCCTCTAGTGAAAGCCAAAGGTCCTAGATCAGAATGCTAGAAAGTCTTTTATTCATCACCCTGGGTTAAAAGGACAGTTAAGGTCATTTTGGGAAGGAGAGAAATGCTAACCACCCCTCCCTTGAAGTTTCAGTAGCAAACAGGAATCTGGGCTCTGAAAAGTCACACTTTTTCCCCCCATGAGCAACTGGGGCGACTGGCCAAATGTGTTAGCTCAGGAAAGCCGAGAGCGATCCATGTGAGCAGCTAATGGCTGAGAGCAGCACACCAGCTCCATGACCTCCACGCTGGGACAGTGCTGCGCTCGGCGGGCCTATTTCAGCAGGATCCAGTCATCCACGGGACCAAGGGGTGGGAGTGTTGGGAACAGATGATTCTGTGTTCCACAGATAATGGTATGGAGTGACTGTTAATAGATAAGGTTTAAGTACAGCATTTGGACACAACGCCTCCAGGCATTCTGTTATTAAAGTCTTAAGAGCTTAGAACCTGGAAGGATTGAGAAATTCTAAAGAATTAAACAAAACCAGACAAACAAAAAAAGAGGGTGGAAGATATCAAAGACACTAGAGCTCTTTGTAGATGCTGGCTGGCTCACTTTGTCCCCAAGTTCATCTTAGAGCTCAACCAAATTCGAGACACAAGGCAGAGACATTAGACCTGTGTCAAGGGCAAAAACTTCTGGTAGTAGCTCTTGGTGACGTCAATCATCAGCTCCTGGGTACATTCTGGGAGTTCCCCTGAAAACAGTCCTGGGGAAAGAAAGACCTGATCAACCAACTGGAGCCGGGGGAGGACAGCAGCTCTGATTTCGTTTAAGCCCTTTTCTTTACTCATGAGCATCTAAATCCAAGTCCTCCATCTTCAATGCTAGCAGAGTCGTTCTACTGACCACATCTCTGAGATAGTATTTGTGTGGGGGGGGGCGAGGGGGGGAGACAAAGAATACAATTCCCTGAATGGATAAATTCCAGGTAAAAAAGGTTATTAAGGCATCTCTGACTCCACTGGAGGTTGTTTCAGGATGGATTTGTCCATCCCCTGGATTCTGGTGTGACACCTACTGGGCAAAGCCAAGGTGAACACCCTTTGAGGTAAGAAGCTGCTCTGCTGTTCATAGAGTGAAACATGCAGTCCCCAAACCTGCTACATACAAGTCGTGGATGGGAGTAGAACAGAAATATCCTATAGAAAGACAAAAAATTGTATTTAAGGATTTCTAGGAAAAGTCACTCCCATATACTATGGGTGGAAGCGTACGTTCATACAACTGTTTTGAAGAGCAATTTTGGAAAATCTAGCAAAACTTTTAAAAGTTCATACCCTGTGACCTGACAATCCAACTTCTAAGAATTTATCCTACAGATAACCTTGCCCAACTGAACAATACATGTACAAGAATATTAACGCAGCAAAGTTTCTAATACTGAAAAACCAAAGGCAACATCTGATGATCCATTACACCATTACTGATGAGTTACACTATGGTACATTTATGCAACGAAAAACATGTAACCATTAAAAGGAATGAGGGGACTCTCCACATACTGACAAGAAAAGATGCCCAAGATACACTGTTAAGAAGGCAAGTTTCCAAACAGAATAAAGAGTGTGAGTCTGTTTACACAGGTGTAAACAGTCTCATACATCTGTATTATGTACACAAGTATACGTATATATGCATATGAATACACATACCTATACATCACACATACAAGAACAAATACATGCACTTGCATATGTAGAAAGAGAAAGTAACAGGTACAATGGAAAAAAGGTCTTAAAAATACAAAATTCTCACAGGAACTGTTTACAAATGAACAGCCATGTTAGATTTGCAAACCTATGTTTGGTCTGCATAGTATTTAATCTTTTTAAAAAGTTAGCAGCCAACATTTAAAAGTCCAGGGATACCACATAAAAATTCAGATTTTTAGATTCTCATGAAACATCAGAAGATCTCACAATGTTAGGTTTGTATTCTTAGATAGCTACGACAGGCTATTACTTCAATCACTTCTGTCTGACTCCTGTAGGCAATTTTGGCCAAAATTCTTTCCAGATGGTTTGTCTTTCACTTTGTTCCACTAGTCAGTTTCATGCAGTGGAGCCCTCCAAAAATGTGCCAGTCTTCCTGCAGCCCTACACCTCTTTATTAAAGATGGAGATTTCCAATAGCAGTATCTAGATAGCATGTTTGTGAAACTACTGCAAATGAACATGGGAAGCATCTTGTCACAGTGCAGACAGTACAGGATTCTAAATAAGGGGTCTCAAGTGCTAGTCAAGGCTTTCCCACAAACCAGCTCTGACCCTGTGGACACCCACACCTTTCTATTTCCCCCATCTACGCAATGATCTCTAAGGTCTCAGGCAGCTTGAATCCTCCATCAGAACCTCTAAAACACAGTGCTTATTTGGATTTCAAATATGAAGTGGTGCCTCCCTGCCTCTGCCATTGGTGTCCAAAGACCATAGTTGGTACTAAGGACCTTGAAAAAGTTAAAAGAGATCAAGATATTTCTCTGGTGGGGCGCCTGGGTGGCTCAGTGAGTTGAGCATCTGACTTCTGCTCAAGTCATGATATCACGGTTTGTGGGTTTGAGCCCCACATCGGGCTTTGCAGTGACAGTATAACCTGCTTTGGATTCTGTCTCCCTCTCTCTCTGCCCCTCCCCGCTCTCTCTCTGAACAATAAATAAACATTAAAAAAAAAAAAAAAAGGGTATTTCTCTGGCAATATGCTTCTCACCTCAGAGCAGATACCTGTTTGACAATCAACCTAAAACAACTGTAAGGGCTGTTCTGATCTGTACTTGCTAAGAATGATTAAGCTTTTCCACAATGGGAACCCCATAAGGGAGAATGACTCAGCAGGGCTCTCCTTCCTACTCTGCAAAGGCAAAAGTGCACCAAACAGCAGAATGGTCAATTTCTTCCCCAAAGAATCTGAGTGGATGATTCTGTACATCTTTGAAACTCACAGTCAATGGTCTGAGTAATGAGTTTTTTAATTGGAAAAACAACTAAACCACTCAGTGGTAGATCTCATATACTGTCAAACCTCTCTCTACATAGCATCATCCATCTGTGAATCTCTGGGGTGCCTCTGTACATGCTGCATGAGTTCAACCATATAAAACAACACAGAAAAGAGACTGTCTTGGACTGGGGGCAGGGGACATGAGGTTTTCTTCTTCCTTCTGTTTTCCAGTGTTTTCCAAGTTTTCTAGGATGAGAGTGTAGGACTTTTGTTTGCTCACATGTTTGGCCACTTGGAACTCTGAGCTCATGAGGGCTTTACCTGAGGGCATTCTGTCAGCCAAGGTCGAGATGGGATATATTTGCTCTTCTCGGGTGTCCTAGTGCTATCATTGGTCTTAGACTGTTTTATGTCAACTTTTCAGGTTGGACATTCCTCGGCAGTGTGGGAAGTACAAACCCCCAGCCAACATGAAGCCATAGTTAGAATTCTCCGGACAGACTTTTCTTTTTCCACCCAGAGCCCAGGCCAAGAGAGACTTGCGTCTTTGTGCCTTTTTCCTGTCTAGTAGCAGGTTTATTCTATATCAACTTTTTATTGAGAGCTCACCCTTCAGGAAGATCTCTCCACCATGCGTGAATGTAAGGCTTTATCACTGGTCCCCACAGCAGTATCAAACCCTAAACCACTCTATTATGAAGATGCATAAACCTAAACATGCTTATGGTATGGGTGTACTTTTCTCTTTGCTTGAAATTTCCTGGTGAACCCAATTACACATTTAAAAAGATACTGGTTACGTTTTAGATAGCATTTCAAGGGAATCTGTCACAGGAGAATCTTTTAAATGAGCTAGATCAACATATTGTCAGAGACAGAAGTTGCACCCATTATTTTTCTGACGGAAAAAGAACTTGAGCTTTGAATACCAACACCCAAGCTTACCTGGGCAGCCGGAGAAGACAGTGAATGGCGGCACCACAGTTTCTGGGGGTAAAACTGTGTTGTCAAGAATTTTGCAGCAATCTTTCAATACACACCGGCGCCCCTGAAATGAAAATCTTGTCACTAAGAAACAGATCAGGAAATGGAGTACAAGTTGTCCGATCTGCTGTGTAGAAAGCTATTTTGTATTTTCTCCATTCCTGATATCATACCACAGACGGGGACAACGGCAAGAGGTTTGGCCACAGTTCTCTACTTTGGGTGGCATTTGACAAGCAAGAGGAGGTAGGGGTGTTAGTGTGTGCGAGTGTGAGTGTGCGTGTGTGCACACGTGTGTGTGTGTGTGAACTCAGGGAGGGGGTATGCTAGGGACAGTTCAGGTTATCTTAAGCATTATAGACTGAAATTCAGTCTTCCAAGAATTGTACAATTTCCTTTCCTTTTTCTTTTTTTGTCATTTAGTGGACATCTATCATTTTGCTTGTCCAACATTTGTTCCCCTTTCTTCTGGCAACAGAACCTGTATTGACCCTTGGTTACCACCCCCTGCCTATCACAGTCCCCTATCCTAACCCCAAACTCCAAGCCTGGCCATGGCAACTGGTTTAGGGAATGAGCCAGATCAGTCTGATGAATCTGAACATCAGGGCTTTTGCTGGGACTACTGGGGAAAGAAGCTCTTTCCAATGGAGTTTCTAGAGAATAGGACAGATGCCTGGACCAGCTGTGTTGTTTCCATAAGGGAAAAACCTGCCTGAAAGTCTCCTAGAGGAAAGCGGGAAAGAGAAGGAGACTAATTCTCATGACATCAGTTGAACCCCTGAAGCCATTTTGTGCACAGAATTAGGATCTACTTCTGTACTCTTGGTTCATATCAGCCAATATGTTCATTTTGAAGGTTTCAGCCAAGCCTTATGCTTGACTTTATCCACTGCCTTCACTTTTCAATTCTGCCATAACCCACAGCGTTTTGAGGGCAAGAAATAAGGTCTGGTAGATTCATCCGTTTCATGGGTTAAGGCAAAGGAGAGGCTTCTATATACAGATTAGCATTGTGCCTCAGACTACCTGCAAACTAAATGAAAGTTTTGGTCTTTATTGACTGCATTTGCATTACCAGGCCCTATGAGTTCACTTGCGTTTTGGTCAGTTGGTCTGATAGAGCACATCTGGCTGACAATGTGGAATTCTTAACTATCAGGACAATGCTAATGTATCCAGATCTCAGATTTTACCAAAGGATATGAAAGCTATATAAAAAATTTTCCCCATTACTAAACACCCAAATTGGACACCTAGGTGGCTCAGTTGGTTGAGCATCTGCTATCAGCTCAGGTTATGATCTCAGAGTTTGTGCTTTTAAGCCCTGCATCGGGCTTACTGCTGTCAGCACAGAGCCTGCTTCAGAGCTTCTATTCCCCTCTCTCTCTGTCCCTTCCCCACTGTGTGCTCTCTCTCAAATATACACAAAACATTAAAAATAAATAAATAAGTACCCAAATCATATGTATTTCCAGGAATTTCCAGGTAGATTGTCACATGAGTTTTTTAAAAAGCTTATACCTCTAAGTCTGAATTTTTTAAGTGACTGCTAAGCTGTCTCTGGCTAGTGGACAATAGCTTAGGCAATACCTGACAATATCTGTAGCTCAGAAACAAGTTGCAACTGTAGCTCTTCGTTCACTCTTAGAAAGTTCTCTCCCATAATTGCTTCCTATTGGCAATTTCTTTTTTTTTTTTTAATTTATTTATTTTTGAGAGAGTATATACATGCATGCACAAGCAGGGGAGGGGCAAAGAGAGGGAGGGAGAGAGAGAATCCCAAGCAGGCTTCGTGCTGTCAGCATAGAGTCTGACGCAGGGCTCAATCTCACGAACCGTGAGATCATGATCTGAGCTGAAATCGAAAGCTGGATGCTTAACCAAATGAGCCACCCAGGCACCCCTAATGGCAATTTCAAAAATACAGCAGCCAGCCAGCTCCCCTGGTGATTTCCAAATGAACTCAAAGACATCCTACGGCACCTAAGCTCCTAATAATACAGACTAAGCACATGGGGCACTGAGTGAAATGAAACAGAATATGCTGCATCAGACATGCTACACTCACATATAGGGAATCTGCAGACAAAGGGTCCTAGAAAAAGAGCAATGTGAATAAAACTTTGCTCTGTGTATCACCAGCCACCACACCTGCTGTAGTAGGCACCTGCCGAGTCCACTAGTTAGCCATTCTGCCCACTCAGACAAATGATGCTTAATCAGCTTTCAGAGCATTCTGGGAAAACTGATCAATTAAATAGCAGCAAAAGTAAAAATGCCAGTACTTCTTAGGCATGAGTGGATTGGCAACAGATGAGGAGGTTAAAAGCTGAAACTACTTCTTTATTCTTTCGTGGTGAACTTTTCAAGGAGGAGTCAAGAACTACGTGTTACCACTATTACAGCTACCTTTATCTCCTTATACAAGTTATTTAGCATCTCTGAGCCTTGGTTTCCTCATCTGTGAAACAGGACATAAAACCAAACCTGCAGGGATGCTCTGAGGATTAGAGATAATAAATGCAAAGCTCACAGTACAATAACGATGCCTGTTAAGATTGCTTGTTAGTCTTTACCTGTAGGCATTCAGGCAGTTCTGATTGACATCTATACCTTCACACATCCAAACAAGAGTTAGAACACCAAATGGGTGCTAGAGGAAGATCTGTGGGTCATGGGGTCAGCTGGACTCAAAGAATTCCTGCTAGCTCCGAGATTCTAGAATTCTAAAAGAATTTTTCTCTTGAGATTACTTGAGGATTTGTAAAGGCTCAGCAAATAAATACTGCCAATACCCAACAGTGACTATTTCATGAACTGATGTATCGAAAAGTGGCCTAAAAAGCAAAATACAGGACAAGAAGACTAGAATTCCCTAAGCATTGGGAAGAGCATTTGGATCTCAACATTTCAGATATTTTGCTCTGGGGATAAAGGACAGGACTAACACCTAGGCTACTATGAGGATGTCATCACTTTGCTGCAGAAAATGTCAGAAAAAATCCAGCTGTGGGGTGCCTGGGTGGATCAGTCAGTTAAGTATCCGACTGTGGCTCAGGTCATGATCTCATGGTTTGTGGGTTCGAGCCCCGAGACAGCACAGAGCCTGCTTGGGATTCTCCCGTTCTCTTTGCTCCTCCCTGATTCACGCTCTCTCTCTCAAAGTAAATAAATAAACTTAAAAAAAGAAAAGAAAGAAAAAAAGAAAAAGAAAAATCTAAACATGGCTTAGAAAACCAACTCTTGTTGGACAGGATGAGTTTCACTATTTTCCCTCTTCAACATCATGCCAAACTAAAGACTCTCTGTCTCTGATACACACAAGGGGACTCCTTTGGAGGAGAATGGTTGGCAAAACAACAACTTCCCTTAATTATGACTAACCAAATCAGATTTCCACAGTCATGTGGCTCTCCACTACATGGTCCATCTTTGCTTGTGGCTTGTGGAATGTGACTGCATGGTTTCAGGATGTATTTTTTGATTTGTTTATTTATTTATTTTGAGAGAGAGAGAGAGAGAGAGAGAGAGAGAGAGACATCATGAGCAGGGGAGGGACACAGAGAAAGAGAGAGGAGAGAGAATCCCAAGTAGGCTCTTGCTATTAGCTCAGTTCAATTCACGTGAGAATCAAACTCATGAACCATGAGATCATAACCTGAGCCAAGTCAAGAGTCAGACGCTTAACTGACCGAGCCACCCAGGAACCCCAGATTCAGCAAGTATTTTGATACTTGAGTCTTGTCCAGAGCAGAGAGCTGCCTCTGCATTATTGGGAACAGCCATTTAAAAACATGAAAAGTTCTTGGCTTTCCCAAGAATCTAGAATTTGGGTACAAATTTAAAATACAGGAAACATCTTCCCTAAACCTTAAGGCAGTTCAGCTCCAGTCATTAATATTCTCACCCAGGATGTTCTCCTAAATCCCAACTGAAATCAAGCTCTTCATCTATGAAATACTAAGAAATCCAAATCTGTAAAGCCACGCCTGGATGTAACAAGTGGATGCCAAGGCTCCTATGGTCCAAGGCTCCTATGGACTCAGGTTCCACTGAGAAAGGGCCACTTGTACCCTGCACACCCATCACCCTGAACTACTTGCACTTTGCCTAATGTCATCCCCTTTGACCCACTAAACTGTACATTCCTGGAGGTAAGGCAACAGGTAGGCCATAGAATCGGCATGGCTATTCATGCCGCCTGGGTTCGAATCCCAGCTCTACCACTTAATAGCCCTGTCAAATCCCCTAATATCTAAGGTCTTCAGGCTTCTCACTCACAAATAGGGATAATAATAGTACTATCACCCTTGGATGGTTATGAGGGTCAAATAAGATCATCAAAGGAAAGTTCAACATCATATAGAAGAGGTTTGGTAAAGTTTAGCCATGATTTTTAATGTCTAAAAAACTCCAAATCCAACAATAATTCCAGTAGGCCAGAAACTACTTCTACCCTCCTCGGTCACAAAAGTGGAGGCCCACTGATGTGAGGGACGTGAGCTTGAGGGGAAGGGAGGACATTTAGCCAGCCAAGACATCATACTCACAATCACACAGTTCTTGCCAACGTGAACGTAAGAGCCAATCTGAGCTGCGTTGACCACACAATCTTCCTCAATAAAGACATGGTCCCCGATATGTAAAGGAAAAAATGCAACACTAGAGAAGGAAAAGATGAACAAACAAAAAAAAGTCAAGGTGATGTGCTCTTGGTAGAGGTTTATAGAACTACAGACCATATTCTCAACTTTATCGTCGCGTCTTTTTTTTTTTTTT